AAACTCTCATGTAAACGGGGCAGATGTAATCATTATAGAAAAATGTCTCTTGCTCCCCATATGAAAGTATGACATGATCACAATCTGAAAACCACCAATAGAGCAAAGAGGACAGATCTTTCCTGAAAATTAATAATAATAATAAATGTCCTGCACATATGAAACAAAAAAACATTTCAGGCAAGATAATTTTTTCCATGTAATGAAAAACCTCTTCTGGTCAGATAGGCTATACTCATTTTAGTGGCTCTTGACAATAACCTTATGAAAGAAATCACACTTTATGAGTCCAGAAACAGCAGCTGAGGCCAAACAGATACAGCTAAAGGATAAATAATAGTCTATAAGAGGGACCTGTGAGCTTCAGATATTGTATCCACTAGCTCCATGATGACTCATTGCGACTGTGATTAGATGTGTGATTCATGGTTTAATTCTAAGGTTCTATTTAAGGTTCCAATTTAAATGCATCCAGAAGAATTGACAAAAAGACTGACATATGAATTGGCAAACTGAGAATCACATTTGAGAACATGTACAAATCTAAACGTAGCAGAAAAAGGCAGATTTTTTATTTTTTTTTTCCATTCAAAGTTTTTCTTGCTGTGAGGTGAGAGTGCTTTGCGTCAATCATCTACCATTTGGTGTTCTTAAAGTTTACATTTCTGAAGGATACCTAAGAAATGAGGTTGGGTAAGAAAACAGAAATGGAGAAGAACATGCAAACGTTCCTCTTTTAATCCATGATGTTATTCTTGCTTTTATTTCTTTGTAATGCAGCTGCCATGTTCCAAATACGAAGTGAGCATGGGCACGCTTCTGGCTCCACTGACTCTTGAAAAATTGTCACCTGTCTCTGTAACTGCTGCAGTGAGCTCTGTCATTTTGGTCTTAAAATGTTTGTATTAACCAGTCACTATTTTATTTTGCTAATAAAAAAAAAATAAAAAAAATCCTAATGTGGAACTGGCTCCATATTCGCCTGTATAACTGTTAGCCTTGTGAACTTAATTTAAGTGGAACCGAACGCTATGGGTGACGTTATACTCCCTTAGTCCACTTCTTTATATAGTCTTTGATAACATTAATAGCTTCTTTTTATATAAGTGTGTGTACATCCCCGCTGTATTTCCTATTAGCTACCATGTATCAGAGAAACAGCAAATGTCATGTGGGCCTGTGGTTAAATTCAAAGACCTGGTTGTAACTGGAGCCTTGACCCTGATGTATGATTCAGCAACAAGTGCACTCAGCTGTCTGTTTGTGTCTATGAAAAAAAAAAAAAAAAAACACCTCATGACTGAATGTACATCCACACAGTAGATGAGGCTACCACTTTAGCTGTAAACATGTCTCACAGGTGTAGAGTGCCTCCTGGGCTTCCAGCATGAAAAGACATGCATGCTTTTAAACACATGATTTCCCCATAGTATAGTCCTGTATGTGGACCACTACCACACAGCTACTTCTATTAAGTGTTCGGCAAGTGAAAAACACAACTAGTTCATTTTAAAAGGGCCAATATCAGACTATTTTCTGATCTATGTTCTCCTCACAAACAGACCTGGAGTTGAGTTTTGTTTCATTCAAACATGTTTAACACCCAAACACTGCATTTGGGCTGAGTTCTTCTCTCAAACTGAAAACGCTCTGTTCCAATTTGTGATGTCATGTTGTAATAAAGGAAGTGCTCCACTATGTTTTTAACCTTCATAACCTTCACTAGAATCATTTGGATGATTTCAGCCCTGGACATGCCCATCTTTACTGAACTAAAGGTATAAGTAACTGTTAAGTTGAAAACTACCACCACATGACAGATGAAGGTGGAACAGAGCTTTGGAGATGTAGAAAGACTAATAATAAAAGGTTACACAACCATGTGTGAATGAAACAGTGAAACAAAACACAACCCCAGGTATGTTTTGATGACGTAACAACGTTATAACTTGGCTTAAAGCTCACAAGAGTCAACTTGCTTAATATAGGACTTTAAAACTGTTTGCAGCAGTCCAATTTATTGCTCACGTCCCATACACTGAGCATCCTCATTATTTACCATAATGAGTTTATAAGTGCTTTTCACAACTTTCAGAGAGCAGAATTTACTATCATGGGAAAGCGAGCAAGCATTAGCATGTAAATGCTGCACTTTCTGTTTTGCAGAGGGAAAAAAAAACACTAATTAGATGCAATCATCTTTTTTTTTTCCATTTTCATTCTAATTTTTATTCATTCTCATTTTCTTCTGCTTTTACAGTATGCCATTATATATCTGTACAGTTTCTTTAATAGTATCTAATCAGTGTGTGTTTGCTTTGATTTCCAATATTCCCATTGCAAACTGGGCACCTGGGTGATCTCTGGGTGCTGTCCTTGGCTCATCTCTTGCTTGGTGCAGTGAAAACATGTCAACAAAGTCTGCAGCTCTTCTGTATTTTACATTTGCACAGCCTGTCCTGCCTATACAGTGGGTGGAGGAAGATATTTACTTATCAGCACTGTGTCTAACAACTCACAGTTAACTGAGAAAAGAAAAGTCATTCTTTGCACTTGGGGCAATAAAAACAGAAATATTATCCCCATGCTTCCATGTTCTAGAGGCACCTGAACTAAATAAAGAAAAGGGAAACAAAAGAAAGAGGTGTTGCATCCACAGCTTTACGCACAGTGTGATCCATCAGCACAGACCTGCACCACCTCGGGTACAGAAAATACCTGAGAATACTAATTCTAAGTAATTGTATTCAAGTTCAGTTAGATAAAGAGTTAGGTTTCTTTATTTGATCTGTGAGAAGCAATTTGGGTTTCTTTTTCATTTAGTGGCAATCTGAATACATTTGCATTTCAAAGGAATACATTGTGATACTTGATCATGTACTTTCAAAGTATTAGTGAGGAAAATAGAAGTGAGTGTGCATACGATTTTAACGAACTCCCTACGAATAATGCTCCACAAGCTGTCTGAGCTTCGAGGGAGTGCGCATGTTTGCAATAGGCTTCAGACTCATTTTAGCCTTAAAGGTCCCATACTGCACAAAACTGACTATGACTATTAGAATGTTGTTACCTCATCAAAAACTTCCCCAAAATTGTGTTTTGTTTCATTCACACATGTTTAAGTAACCCTGCATTATTGGGCTGTCTACATCTCCAAAACTCAAAATGCTCTGGTCTACCTTGTGATGTTATGAAGCAGTAGTTTTCATGTTAACAGCGACATTTTACCGCTTAGTTCAGTAGAAATTGACAATTCCAGGACTGAAATTATCCAAATGATTCTAGTGATAGTGTCTGGAGTTTAAACACAGTAGAGCACTTTCTGTATAACCACATGACATCACAAGGTGAGACATGTGTTTTCTGTTTGAGAGAAGAACATCTGTGAATGAAACAAAACTCAACTCTGGGTATGTACGTAGACCAGAAAATAGCATAAAATGGGCATTTTAAAGAAAAAAAAAGTATGTATATATATATATATAGTATAAAAGTATGAATGAAAATGTTCACTGTTCCAGGAATGCATTTTGTGTGATTGACTGGAAAGGAGGGGTCAGCAGGTCAGAGCAGCAGAGTTGAGGTAATGAGTCTTTTTCAGGATTTGAAAAGAGTCATCTTGTACTATGTGCAGTAGAAGAGAATTTCTGAGATGAGCAGATGCTGTAATTGACAAAAGGATGTCAGGATTATGAGAGAGAAAAAAGAAGAAAAAAACACAATACCTTGAGTTTGTAAAGTTTGTAAAGAACACAGAGAACGGACTTCCAGGAATGCTCTTTATCGCTTGGTGTCTGAGCCCTGCTATTTGGATTGTATACTCCTCTCATGTCCTTGAGCAAGTCACTCACCCCAACCCCCACTGTCAACAAGAGGTAGTAGGAATTAGAGATGGAAATATTGATAAAATCGTCAATGCTGTGTCAAAGATATGCAAAACCTAAATATTGAATGGTATCTCTATCATTTATAATTTATTATTACTTATTGTATTCTTTAAAATAAGAATTTAAAGTGATATTACTGCACTTGTGTGGGTAATTTTACAGTCCTTTCACATTTTGTCTGATACTCAAACCTCAAATATAACTGTTGGTTGTATAGTTATCGAGATATACTCCATGGTGAGAGAAAGACGTAGATGTTTGTCAGTATTGCCTACCCCTGCAGTCTGAGATATGTAATCCAACTACCAACTCTCTTACTTTAGTAAATAAACAAAATTTGAGCCCGGAGGATGATTTATTGTTGACGAATGTGTCAGAATTCAGAAACTTTCAATAAAGTTCCTTCTTGCAGTATTTCTTCTGTCACATCAAATCAGTACAGCTTTCGATATAAGACGGACCTGACAGTGGCTCTGGAAACAATCAAAAAAATAATAAAAATGTCAAAAATGTTTCACTTCACTTTAGATGACGTATATTTGTGCCCTTTGAGGATGAAATGTCTGATTCAAATGCAGGGACTGGTTGATTGGTTTGGGCTACTAAAACATTTGAAGGTTTTGAATGACTGCATACACAAGGCCTATGATACTTTTGTATTTTTATGTTTAGAATAAACCACATAGACACCATTTTAAAGGTACAGTATGTAACTTTTCAGAGGGTAAATCACTTGTTTGTCTTCTTGAAAATGGGATTGTTTTGCCTGAAAAGTTCCACAGTATGGCAATAAACATATCCAGTTTGAATTTATTCAGTTGCAGGTGTTTTTATAATTGCCAAAAAAAAAAACCAAAAACATATATTCTGATTGTGAGCGGGGTTGTCTCTACACAGTTCTGATCTGTAACTTGGCTTGTTGCTGTCTCCGTGGAGATATGGTTAATGCCATACTGTGGAACATGCTAAACAAGGCAAAAATGTATCCATGGTGACAGGCAGGTGACAGACCCTCCACCAGTAAAGTTATATAGTGAACTTTTACGGAGTTCATACACCAATTAAAATGTTCCATTTTCAGTACTATAGTAGTATGTGTCATGTTTCTGACAGGTACAGGGCCATAGTGAACCCCATGGACATCCAGACGTCAGGTGCAGTGTTCTGGACCTGTCTGAAGGCTGTCTCCATCTGGGTCCTGTCAATGCTGCTCGCTGTCCCCGAAGCCATCTTCTCCCAAGTCATCCACATGCCAGTGAGTACTACTCAGTCATAGGTTTCAGCTCCCTGTTACACACAACATTTTGTGAACTTTTCACCATTCACCGGATAGGATATTTTGTTTTGAATTCTATATTGTTACAGGAATTAACACAAGCCCATGCATAGCACTACACTACAGCATCAAGTACAGCAATAACAAACCTCCAAAGAAAAAGTAGAATCAACACCAACAACCAATACACAAAAGTTATACGGTATTTTTCGGACTATAAATCACTCCGCAGTATAAGTCGCACCAGCCAAAAAATGCGTATTGAAGATGAAAAAAACACATATAAGTCACACTCGATTATAAGAAATATAATATAGAAATTTATTTTATAAAATCAGAGACCAGGAACCGACATTTCATCTTGTAAGCAAGTTATAGTAATGACAGCAGAATAGAGAACAACAGGCTGTTAAGGTCACAGTTATTCAGACAATTACAGCATAAACAACAGAACAAGTTTACCAAACTCTCCATCTCACTCCAAATCACTAAATCCATTGAATTCTTCATCCTCTGTGTCACTTCTGAGTAATTCCGTGACCTCCAGAGGTAAACAGAGCGCCGCTTCCTCTTCTGCGTAGCTGTCATCAGACTCAGCATCAGTTCCAGTTAGAATTATGGCCTTTCTGAATCCCAACAGGACGATACAGAAGTAATGGTGCGATCAACTGACATGATACCAGATAGGACAGTGGCTCTTTCTCTTTCTTCTGCAGCCGACATGTGCAGTAGAATGTGAAGTGACAGTGGTATAGGAGTACACAAGCCTAGAGCGCCCTCTCGCAGCTGTCAATGTGAAAATGTTAACATACAAGTCGTAGGACCACCCAAACCATGAAAAAACTTGCGACTTATAGTCCAAAAAATAGTGTACTTGCTTTGGTTTCTATGTAGTGATAATGAATATACTCAAACAAAGGTAAGGTGCATATGACAGACTTTCAGGTTTTTAATTATAACTTGGCTTAGTGGGATAGTTGTACTTGTGCTAAATATTTATCATAGTTTATATGAGTTAAGTGATATTTTTTGGAAAAGAGGTTGAAAAGAAAAATTGGATTACATATATATTATGTGTAAGTTAAGACTCGACTCCACCCTCTCGTACACAGATGTCCTAAAGTATGTTCAAAGTTTTCCAATATGTCTTCCTCCAAAGTCTGAACTCTGCTCCAAACCACATACTTTTACTGACAGAGCTTTGGCTGTGGACCTCTCAATTAAACACATCCAATCTGAAATAGGAATGATTAGATGAGTCTCAATTAAAACATTTGAATAGCCCTACTTTAAAATATTCAGAACGCATTGCAAACTTAGCAAAGGTTATTCTTCCGTAACACGTTTGACACCATTAAATGTCCTTATAAATCCTCCCAACCACACTGTTTGACTTTGCCTCGCCCTGTCAAATGTAGTTCATCATCACATCAGCGTACAGCCTCCCATTGGACCAGCGCAGCCACAGCCATAAAACTGTATTTACTGACTTTATGAAGGCCCACTCCCTCCTCTTCACTCTTGATCCTGATTTATGTTCACATTCAGGGCTCTATTTCTCTGTGGCGCTCAGTCTCCTCTCCATCTGCTCTCCCATGATCACGTCATCCACCCACAAAGTTCGGGAGTTTGGATCAGAGTCAAAAGGAGCTGAGATAGAAAATCACCCAAAATGACTCTGGTCTAATGGTGTAATTCTCAGTTTGGATGTATTGTACAAACTTGGCTGGGCATCTGTTTCCTTTTCATTTACAATATGGTCTAATGAATGAATTCAAAACTGCGGCGAAACTTGAATTTCCCTCTGGATCAATAAAGTATCTCTCTGATGTGTTTAGGGTGTAGGCAGTGACATCATCAGATCACAAAACTTTCATTTTATAGTTTAAAATGGAGATCGAGATTGTCTCAGATTGTAGAAATTTCTGCGAGTCTAATGTTCAACCAACAGAGATTTTAAGATGCAAAAAAAAAAAAAAAAAAAGAAAAAAAAAAGCAAATTATGTTCTAGGCCATATTTATTGCCAATAAAGCATAATAATAATAATAATAATAATAATAATCTATAATTCAATCCATTGTATTTTATGTTTGGATTTTTCTTTCAAATAGTGTGAATTCCACATATCTTAGAGTGAAAATTAGAATAAATGATATGACAAAAATAAATAAATATTAATAATCACGATTTCAAGATCCAGGAAGAAGTTCAGAAATTTTTTTTTTTTATTTTTTCTTACATTAAAATGGCTTCTAATGTGACTTTCAAGAAGATTAAGGGGACAAACATTTGGTCTCCGCTCCAAATCATATTTTTTCCAGGATTGTGTATAGATCTCTCACTGAAAAAGACCCAAACAGATCCTTCGTCAATTTGAATTTCAATTAATGTTTGATTATTTGCATTGCAAATAATTCAACCGTAATGTTGTGAACACATCCTGCTCATTTGAGCCTCAGACACAGATGGTTGTTTGTGCATGTTTGTTTTTCAGCCCTATAGCTGCATAACTGTGCTTCAGTGAGGTGCAAAGTCAAAGAGACAGACTTCAGTCAACTCCAACTCTTCACAGAAGGGATCAAAGAAAAACTGTTCTCACATTCATTATTAAAGACTGACTTCATATAGCCTGGCCACCCCAAACTAACTCTTCTGCCTGATCTGTGTACACTATATGAGTCTGGATACTTTCATGTTCTAATGGATAAGACTGACAGACAGGACGACCAACCAGAGAAATATATGGTCTGTCCGATGTCAAAGCAAACATGGCCACTTCTGAACTTAGACATCTGCGCTTAGACATTAGGAGTTTGCGTGGTCAATACTGAACCACATATTTCAGAAAAATTAAGTGGCAAAATAATTGTGAGGAGAGCTCCATTCAATCCCGAGTTCTGAAGGAAGGTTGTCACACTTTCTATATGATAGGCTGCATTTGTATTCTCTTTTTTTATTATATTGTGCAACTTCTCTGGTGGAGGGTCTGTCAAATACTTTTCTTAATGGAGATGTTAATGCTTTCTCTGAATTGTTCCACAGTAGCATTAAACTTATAGCATGTATTCAATTAAATTGCTTAAAAAACATGAGCAAGGTCGACTCTCTGCAGATCTGATATGTAAATTGGCGGTGTCACTTTTTTGTCTCCATGGAAATAGATACATGTAATGCAATACAGTGGAGTATTCTGGAAAAGTTGCACAGTGCACGTTCAAGTAGTAACAGCACTGGGGAGTGTGAATTAACAAAAATATCACCCATAGATGAAAACCAGATCTCCTTGCACCTTTACACTGTCTGTCTGTGTATCCAGGCACAGACCGAGAACATCAGCTTTGCCAACTGTGTGCCGTACCCTCTGTCCAACGAGATGCACCCCAAGATCCACTCTGTGATGATCTTCCTGGTCTACTTCCTCATTCCTCTGGCCATAATCTCTGTCTACTACTACCACATCGCACGTACCCTCATCAAGAGCGCCCATGACATGCCCGGAGAGCTCAGTGACCACACCAGGAGACAGGTACGGCAGGTGTAAACATAATGTCTCTCTTTTTATGTCGCTCTCACTATCTCTCTCTCTCACACACACACTCCTCTCTCTTTCCTTTTTCTCTTCCTCTCTCCTCTACACCAAAAGACAAGTACAGCAGACGTAAATGTGGATTTATAATGTAAACATAATATGGAGCTTTTCATGCCGCCTTTGATGAACACTGACTTCAAGTAGCTGTCCAGTTGTCTTTGACTTTGACTTGGTGTCACAAACTAAAACTGTTATTATGTTCAATATTATTGCTTATTGCTCTCATTGTATAGAATCTGTTTTTGTGTTTGTAATTTGCTGATAGCCATGCTGCTAAGAAGCTGTTTCAACATTTTCAGTTCCTCACTACTGCCAGCAGAGGGCAACAGACTTAAACCCTGAACATTCTCGGTAAAAGAGCAAGTGTAGATATTGGTGGTTTTAAGATTCTGTGTTGTGATGTTGTCACACTCTCAGATGCAGGGTAAGAGACACATTACATTGTTCTTTGCCATGAAATATCACAGGACTAGAAGATAGAAGAACTCACTATATTAACACTTTAAAGGTGCACTATGTAACTTTCTGGCTGGAGGTCTGTCACCTGCTTGTTCCATGAATATGTCACTGCTCTGCTCATTAAACAGATCTGCCTTACATTTATTTAATAACAGGTAGTTTATAGTTCAAAAATACCTAGAAAATAAGCATTGTGATTGTGTCCGGGGTTGCCTCACCACAGATCTGACCTGTAACGGGCCCAATCCACACTAGTACATATTCAAGTTGTTTTCATTATGGATGCAGTGTTCATCCACACTAATCTGATGGAAAACGGCTCCAGAGATGGTCTGGTGCCGCCAGCTCTCAGTTCATCTGAGTACGGATCTGATCCGGCGGCACTGTATGGACACCTGAAAACACTGATACGCTGATGTAGGTCTATGCACCGTGAAGTAATTCCCTGCCAAAACGCTAAGAGGCTAGAATATATGTCCATTCATATATGCGGTTGACCTGCAGACGTATAATCTCTGAAAAGTTTAACAGGAACCAACTCCAATGCGATAGAAGCACAGAACAGACTCACCATTAGTAGAAGACGTCTCTGTCACAGAAACAACACATATAATCCACTGAGTCGTGTCCTTTAGTCTGACAGAAGATGAACCGCATCAGCGCACAATAGCGAGCTGTTTTTTGAAAATTATTAATTTGCCTATGCAGTTTTAAGTTTCGTTTCTGTAAAAAAAACAAAAAAACAAATATGCTCAAAGCTGTGTGGATAGGGAAGGATTACGGACACAGAAACGATGTGTCTGGACGCAAATCATTCCCGATACGGTGATTCCTTTCAGTGTAAACTTAACCTTGGTCTTGTTTGGTCTCCATGAAGATATAAAGGTTTAATACAATACTGTGAAACATTCCAGACAAAGTTTTTAACTGACCCTCCACCTGAAAAGTTACACAACGCGCCTTTAACTTTAACTATTAATTTTGCCTGCACCCATCTGTACTAAATATTACTGATCTATTGAACGTTGTGACGTCATCTGAAACCCAGCAATTTGTCAGATAAACACAGATGAACATATTCAGAGTAGGAATCAAATGGTTCTCTTTTAAGCTCCTTTAAGAAGTACTCTATGTAAAAAGGTTTATCCAGATAAGTGCTATAAGTGCTTTTGGCTGTTACAAAATCTGTGGTGCAATGATTTGAGACATGTTGCTCTTTGCACCCCTCCTCTTCTCTTCTCTCACACTCTTCTCTCACTCCCTACTTTCGGCATTTTAACTTTTAGGTTTCACATACTCAGGAGGAGTCTGGGTACCTCTTCCCCTCGCTCGCCTCCTTCTCCTCTTCCTTCCCTCACTTTCTCTATCTACACACTCCTCTTTCTTTCCTTCCTTCCTTGATACATTCTCTTCTCTCTCTCTTACACCCTCACTCTTTCTCTCCTCTCCCTCTCTCATCTTTTCTCCTCTACTATCCTCAGATTCTTTAGTGTATTTGAGCTCACACACACACACACACACACACACACAAACACACTCTGCTCTCTTTCCTTCATTCCTTCTCCTCTCTCCCCATCTCTCTCTCTTCTCCCCCCTCCTCTACTTTTCTTCAGATTTTCTATGTATTTGAGCTCAGAGGAGGACTGTGGACTGAATAACTTTTCACTTTTTGCCCCCCCCTCATCATCTCTCTCTTTTTCTCTCTCTCTTTCTCTCTCACACACACACACACACACACACACTCCTCTCTCTTTTCTTCATTTCTTCTCCCGTCTCTTTCTCTCTCCCTCTGTCTCGTTCTCTCTCTTCCGTTTCTCTTCCTTTTTCTCCCTCTCCCTCTTCTTCTTCTCTCTCTCTCTACACCTCCCCTCCTCTTCTACTTTTCTTCAGATTCTTTGCATATTCGAGCTCGGAGGAGGATTGTGAAATGAATCTCTTTTCACTTTTGGCTTTCACACGTTCAGGAGGAGAGGGCAAAGTGACAGCACTGAGTCAGAGCTGGAGTTTTTAGGACTAACCATTACGCTCATTATAAGAAGTCCGTTTAAAGTACAAGTAACATCATCTAGTCTTTTCAAGTCAAACAATATAATATAATCCCAGTTAAAATGTGTAAAATATAAAAGCGTTCCAGGGAATTGCCAATCTCTACTGAACAAACGGTAAAAAGAGCTTGTTGTGGTATTGTTATTGGAGTCTTTTCCTTATGATTTGTCATTTTAGTATTTTAAAAATGCTACAGACACAGTTATAATAGATGAGGGATGATAGGGCCCCTCAACACACTCGTAATCACCCACATATAAACAAATGCTAAAGTTCTATAATGTGACAATCTGCCCACTCTGACCTTTACCTCGGCTGATCTAATATTGCTTTTATCGAGAGTGCGGAGTTGGCTCTGCTTTCCAAAGGTTAGTCATTTGATTATAAACAGAAGAAATGGCAAATAAGAAAATATAAGAGGAGAAGGACTGCGGCTGTACAGTGGTTCAGGTGGTAGAACATAGAGTCTATGTTCAAGCCCTCTGTGCTTTAAAAAACTTGTCTAGCTCATTATAAATTAAAGTTTTAATTATTTACTCTTGCTGCATTCAACACTGACTACGCAAGAGTACAATTATTGGCCATGTTAAAACAATTATTTATTGATCAAACTGTGGGGACTATGAATGTGGTTTCTGTATGTGAAGGAAAAATTAAAGTCCCATTGGTGAAGTAAATCCATTATTTTTACATCGATTCAAAGTTCAGATATGGGTCAAAATATGTTAAGGCGAGGCAGATGGTAAATATGTGGGATTGAAGTCAGCTCTCCACAGATCTGACCTGTAAGTTGACCTGTGGTGTCAGCTGTTTTCATGTTGATAATAACTTTAATTACGATACTGGAGAATATTCAAGCAAGAGTTTCATGGAGATAAGTGGACCCTCCTCTAGAAAAGTTCCACAGCGCACCTTTAGCAGACCTAACATACCTGGACGACTGAAAGGGATTTGTTTTGGGGCAGCACAAACTTAAATTTATGTTTTGTTTTTACGAGAAAACCAAAAAAATGACTATAACCATATAACCATAAAACATCCGAGCAGAGTGAAAAAAGTTTCGTGTTTTTGTGTTTTGTTCCACTTTAAGTAAAAAAAAAAAAAGTTAATGTTATTACATGGACCAGTGATGGAATGTAACAAAGTAAAGTACTGTACTAAATTAAACATTTTAGATATCTGTACTTTACTTAAGTAGATTTTAAAGTGGACACTTTTACTTCACTATATCTGAGAGGAAGTATCCTTACTTTCTACTCCATTACATTTTGGAACAGGACTGAAAAATAAGGTAAAGTGTTTGAAGGTTTACTTTGTAGTTTGAGCAAACAAAAATATACAAATAAAAACAGCTGACTGATTCAGTTGTTTCTACTCAACAAAATTCAGCACAAATATGTACCAAAATTGCTACATTTGAAGCCTTAAAATATGCACAAAATACACTTTTTACTCTTAAAGTACTTTTTTTTGTTTGCTCCTGTATGTGTACTTTTACCTAAGTAACAAAACTGAGTGCTTCTTTCACTACTGACATGGACATAAAGGCAGTTATACTCTCCTGTAAATTCCTAGCCTAACACACATTGTAAAGTACTTTTCAAAAATAGTTCCTATCTGAAAGTTGTCTCTCTTTTCCCAGTCTGGCAGTTCATATTGAGCATTGTCACACAGTCTGGCCCTGGTCTTGTTAGGGCTCTAAATCCAGTGCTGTCGTTATTGTTTTTGTGCTCAGACTCAGGTGAGCAGTGATTTCTTTGACAGCTCAGTGACAAGTAACTGACAGCTGTGAATGCAACGCTTCAACACAATCAGAACTGAGACCTGAAGGTTATCCCAGGACAGGAACAAGAGGCACTCAAATACACTAACGTCAATTCAAGCAGTCAGGATTTTCAGTATTCCGAGAAGGGCACGATGAAAAAAAAATCAGATAGGATTTTTTTTTCTGAAAATGTTGGTTTCTTCAAAGTGCACAGTGTAACTCCAGGAACACTGGGGTCCATCACCTGCTTGTTTCTATGGATATGTCATTGCTCTGCCTGGAATGTTCCACAGTATGACATTAAACAGCTCTACCATACATTTCATAGCTCAAAAATACCTAGAAAAACAGATATTCTAACTGTGAGAGGTTGCCTTTCAGATCTGACCTGTAACTTGGCCTGGTGTGCTCTCCATGATGATAGAAAAGTTTAATACCATACTGTGAAACATTCCAGACAAAGCAATAACATGTCCAGAAAAGCATTTGAAGGACCCGCCACCGAAAAGTTACACAATGCACCTTTAACACTGAGCGAAGACTGAAATATGAACTGATAATACTTACACAAACTAATCCAGAATTCAAGAATTTCATGAGATTTGAGAACAACAAAAAGACAGGCTCAACACAGGATCATTTGTTCTTTATCGAGGACATTCAGTCA